TGGACTCTACCGTCGGTTCCGACGTATGAGGATCTGTGTGATAATCTTAAGTGACATTGAAGACCCGCTAGTGATTTACAAAGGAGGCCACATATGGAGCAAGTGTGAGATGAGATCACTGTTATATATATATATATATATATATTAAGAAATGGACAAAGTCCGACAATTTATTTATTAAAGAGATTTTTTATGTTTAACGTTCTTTTTATAGATACAAGTATTTAAGTAAATGCTCTGTTTATAATAAACAGTATTAAATAACATTTACCGGCCTGAATGTCCGAGAAATTTTCATAGAAAATATTCGTCCTTTGACAGAATTCGAACCTGCGTCCTATACGGAACCGTCATTTACGCTGACGTGCCTAACCTTGCCAACCGAATATTTCTATGAAAATTTCCCGGACATTCAGGCCGGTAAATGTTATTTAATACTATTTATTATAAACAGAGCATTTACTTAAATACTTGTATCTATAAAAAGAACGTTAAACATAAAAATGTCTTTAATAAATAAATTGTCGGACTTTGTCCATTTCTTAATATATGACGTCATTTGTTTACATTTGATACGCCATGAGCAGTTATGAATGTACGAGATTCATGGAAGATTGAAGTTTATAAGCAGTAAATTCAACCTTGCCATCCGAACGATCCTTTGTGGCCGAGAGGTTGGGCACGTCAGCGTAAATGACGGTTCCGTATAGGATGCAGGTTCGAATCCTGTCAAAGGACGAATATTTTCTATAAAAATTTCTCGGACATTTAGGCCGGTAATTGTTATTTAATACTGTTTATTATAAACAGAGCATTTACTTAAATACTTGTATCTATAAAAAGAACGTTAAACATAAAAATGTCTTTAATATATATATATATATATATACTTTAAAAATCTGGAGGTCAGTTGAATCCGCTACCTTGGTTTCAGTATTAAGGTATCCTCAGGCGAATTTTTTTTCAAATGACCTCTTAACCCTTTTTTATTTTATTTTTTTAAAGTAAAGAACGCTACATTATTATTTTCAAAAGTAAATAAACAAACGCACAACGTTGGGTGTAATAGAAAGGCAGGAGGTACGTTGTGCGATTTATTTTTTATTTTTGAAAATAATAATGTATCGTTCTTTAGTTCATTTGATAAAAATCGCCTGAGGATACCGTAAGGTTGAAACCAAGGCAGCAGATTCAACTGACCTCCAGATTTCTAAAGTTAAAAGCTCTACATGTCATTTTTACTTTACTTTAATTTTATTTCTTTCACATGTGTATTGAGCACTTTTCAATGCTACTGTTTCCTGGTCTGTTTCAACTCTCAACATTAATCTCTTTTATATATATATATATATATATATATATATATATATATATATGCATTTAAAACAACATGCCTGCCTGCACACACAATTCCGTAAATACTTGTCGAAAACACAATTATACTTCGACAATGGAAAAAAAAACTAAAAATCCTTGAAGCATTATACATCAAACAGTTGAAACCCACCCTAAACAAAATCCATTATGGCATCTCTACAAATATTCTTAAATGTCTATAAATGGTAACAGAAGCCATTGGTTTATACCAACGGCTTTAAAAGTAAATATCATTTTTAATAATAATATTGATTTGTAATCATATTATATATATTTTATCATTATTTAAAAAAAAATGTTAAGAGGTCATTTGATAAAAATCGACTGAGGATACCGTAAGGTTGAAACCAAGGTAGCTGATTCAACTGACCTCCTGAATTTAAAAATTAAATGCTCTAAATGATATTTTTAATTTAATTTTATTTTTTTCACACGCGTATTGAGCACTTTTTAATACCACTGTTTTCTGGTCTGATTCAACTCTGATCATTAACCTTGCAACATTATTTATTATTATTATTATTATTATTATTATTTTTATTTTTTCAAACGTTATTTTCACCCGAGAGTGCATATACACTTGCCATATCTGGTCTGGTGCTCCTACTGTTCACCTCGATGTTTTTGACAAAATCCCAAGAAGGATCTGTAATGTAATCGATCCTGACTTGGCATCGTGACTTCAGTAACTTTGCCACACAAGTGATGTGGCTTGCCTTTTTCTTTTCTACAAATATTTTTATGACAACTGCTCTGAAAAGACTTTTTCCTTGGTGACCTGACTACATGGATTTAAGGGTGCTAGTAGATTGGCATCTAGGTACCACCCTTTTACTGTTGAAATAGTTAAATGTAACCGCCGATACTTTTCTCTCACTTCCCGACAGTGGAACTCTCTTCCGCTTACTTGTTTCCCTGATAACTAAATTCTTCAAAAATTTAAATGCACCGTCAACCGCCAACTTCTGTTGTCTTGAATTCCATTAACTTTTATCCTTTCCTAAGTCCCCACTGTACCCAGTCTTTTCTCTCACCTACACTATATTTACACCCGCCCCACCCTGCATACTAGTAGCACTCCCGCCTTGATTGGGGTGAAATGATTTAAAAAAAAGTTTCTCGAATGCGAAGGTCAGTGGATTTAATTCAAACTGTTAAAATAAAAAAAGACATAGACTATACTGGAACATAAGTACCCGCTATAATAACGTTTGGAGTAATATGTAAAGACATGTTTATACGTTCTTTTTTATAGATACAAATATTTAAGTAAATGCTGTGTCTATATATAAACAATATTAACGACATTTACCGGCGTGAATGTCCGAGTAATTTTCATAGAAAAAATGCGTCCTCCGACAGGAATCGAACCTGTATCCTACGCGGAATAGCCATATAGCCTGACGTGCTTTACCGATTTACCCACAGAGGAGAGTTTCGGCCAGCAAGGTCGAATTTACTGTTTTTAAACTACAATTCTCCATGATTTTCTCTCGTACATTCATATCTGCTCGATGCGAATCCAAATGCAAACAAATGACGTCACACATTTTGAAATGGACAATTTTTATGTTTCTACGTTCTTTTTTATAGATACAAATATTTAAGTAATTGCTCTGTTTATAATGAACGGTATTAACGACATTTACTGGCCTGAGGAGGACGCATATTTTCTACGAAAATTTATTAGACATTCAGGCTGGTAAATGTTGATAATACTGTATATTATAAACAGAGCATTTACTGAAATATTTGTATCTATAAAATAGAACGTATAAACATAAAAATGTCTTAAAATAATTGTCGGACTTTGTCCATTTCATAATATATATATATATATATATATATATATATATATATATATATATATATATATTTCAATTAAAAGGTGAAAATTATAATTTATAAAACGCACAACCCTGAAATTTAAAATTCAAACTCAGCGTTTTGACCGAACGTTCCAAAACAATAACACATTTTTCTCATAGCATTTTTTCGGATTGCATCTCTATTTTCGTTGTCCTCTTATTACCGAGAAGTAAAAACAAGAACAAAATCTATTTCCATACCTGAGGATGTCTGTAGGAACAGACGAAAGCTTGCAAAAATTAAAAGACCTTATGCAACTGGAATTTATGAACAGGGATCATATCATTCATATACAGGTTCGGGGTTGATGTATCTTATTTATATTGTTTGCGAAGATGTATTCTCGCCATTTCAATCATTAACCTTTATATTTGTTTTTATATGAATGATTCATGAATTTATATATATATATATATATATATATATATATATATATATATAGAGAGAGAGAGAGAGATAGATAGATAGATATAGATATAGATATATGATGTGTCTATATGAGTTTTATTCAGAAGAAACCCATTGAATTAAAGACGCATGTAAACAAACCGACTTGTGTGTGTATATATATATATATATATATATATATATATATATATATATATATATTAAATCATAATGATAAAGATGTGATGATTTTTCGAAAGTACTAGCACCGTAACATCAAATCCATCTTACAATTTTAAATATAAGTATCGCATCATACCAGCAGTATATTTTTGTATAAGAAATTACTAATGCTCCCAGTAAAATTAAATTTCGACATTAAATGACTCATAAAGAGTTGATATGCCGCTAACCAAACAAACAAAAAGTATTGTCAGAGTAATGTTGAATAAGGATACCTTATTATTAAGTAGGGGTGACCAGATTGCGTAACCGATAATGATAATGTTACATCGTGATGTATATTATCGAATAGATTTGTTATTTTTTTCTATTTTCTTATATATAGAAGTAATATCGTACGGACATTGTAAACATAGACAAATGCCATGTCAGCTTCACATGTTGATAAACATTGAATACGCAATTAAAAATCCACTAGAATTTCGCAGATTTGGATTTGTCTTTGTGTGTGTTGATGGAATATAAAACCGTAAAACTTTCAACAAGTAATTTTCATATATTATGCCATTGCTGACACTGTAATGACGCAATGCCATTCACCCAAAGGAAAGAAACGTTGATGTCAAATAATACCTTTAGGATTTCCAACTGGCATAAATGGAACGCTAAAACGAAAAAAAAAAATGATTTAATTCTCACCGGATCTGAAAAGAAAAAGAAATGATATTTGATGAATCATATGCTTTTTAGCAATAAAGATTCCTGTCTATCAAGACACGTTTAGAAATAAAGTTGATATCCTAAAAAAATGTCATTTTTTTTTCTGTGTATGAAACACTGCTTGAATTTCTTTTATTTTGCTGTTTTTTTTTTTTTCTGAAACCCATGATCTTCGAATTTTCGTGCCATGTTCTCCTTCATTTTTCTTTCAGAAAAATGTCAAGGCAAATAACTTCTTCCTTGAAAGAAGAGTTACGTGTAATATTTTTAACTGGATAATTTCTTTAAATCTCTAGTGATTAAGATCTTTGGCATGTGTAAAAAGAGAGAAAGCAGCCCACCGTACGTAAGGTAAAAAACACGGCTTAGAAAGTATGCACAAATATATATTCCTGTGTGAGAATGGTGATCCACGTACAACTGTGCAAGCGATGACGAGTTGACCATGTAAATCAATCATATATCTACCTGAGAGAGAGAGAGAGAGAGACAGTGAGAGAGAGAGGGGGGTTATAGAAAGAGAATGCGAGATATAGGTAGAGAGAAAGGGGGAGCAGTAGAGAGAGAAAGAAAGGCAGAAAGAGAGAGGGGGTATAGAAAGAGGAAGAGAGAGAAAGGTAGAGAGAAAGGGAGAGAAGTAGAGAGAAAAAGAAAAGCAGTGAGAGAGAGAGGGGGTATAGAAAGAGAAAGAGAGATATAGGTAGAGAGAAAGGGAGAGCAGTAGAGAGAGAAAGACAGAGAGAAAGAGAAAGGGAGAGGGGGTATAGAAAAGGAAAGATAAAGGTAGAGAGAAAGTGGGAGCAATAGAGAGAGAAAGAAAGGCATAGAGAGAAAGAGAGAGGGGGTATAGAAAGAGAAAGAGTGATAAAGGTAAAGAGAAAGGGAGAGTAGTAGAAAGAGAAAAAGGCAGAGAGAGAGAGAGAAAAAGAGAGGGGGTATAGAAAGAGAGAGAGATAAAGGTACAGAGAAAGGGAGAGCAGTAGAGAGAGAAATAAAGGCACAGAGAGAGAGAGAGAGGTATAAGAACAGAAAGAGATATATAGGTAGAGAGAAAGGGAGAGCAGTAGAGAGAGAAATAAAGGCAGAGAGAGAGAGGAAGAGAGAGGGGTTATAGAAAGAAAAAAGAGATAAAGGTAGAGAAAAAGGGAGAGCAGTAGAGAGAGAGAGAGAGAGAGAGAGAGAGTGAGAGTTAGGCAGAGATAATGTATTGTATTTTCAATCCTCTATTGAAATGCTTCCCAGATATTTAAACTTCTGTACTTGTTTGATATATTGACATCTTTAATTTGATATTAGCTTCTTGATTACCATACTTCTTGCAGCTGATAGTTAGTCTTTTTTTCTCGCTTTCTTCTACCATCCGGTCACGGAAGTTCTGTTGTATTAATTCCGAGTCGGCCGTCAACATAGAGTCATCTATGTATCTTATATTGCTAAGATCATGCCCCCGATATTAAATCCTGCTAGGTTCTCCAGTTCCTTTAGGAAATCCTCGCTGTTGAAGTTCAGGTTGAATAAATCTGGGAAGAAAACACATCTTGAACTCATTTCCATTTTTGTATAGCTACTCAATTCATTTTTTTATCCGAATTCAGGCAATTTACTCCCAGTGTAAGTTCTTCATTATCCTAACACCCTTTTCAAATAGATCAAGTTTCCCTAGCATTTCAAATAGATCCCCGACATGTCAGCTAGGGATTCAGAATACGCTGACTGAGAAGTAACCAGTCCCCAATCAGGCGTCTTGGATATGACGATAAACTCCGTCCGCAGCAAAGGCTCTAATCGGGAGGTTTTGATGAGCGTGGAACCACCTCTTAATTGTTGTTGTTCCCAGGTCCATCCTGACCGGGAGTGGCTGTACCTGTTAGTGTCCCAGCTATGGGCAAATAGTTACCCCCACCCCAAACTGACGTGAAAACACTATGAAAGTATAAAAATATTTTTTATAGTAAAAATACTAGCAACACATATTTGAAAATAAATATTATCAACAATACATTTTTGAAAAAAAAATATTACCAGCAATACATTTTTGAAAAAAAAAAAAAAAAAATTACCAACAATACATTTTTGAAAAAAAAATATTACCGGCAGTACATTTTTGAAAAAAAAATTATTATCAGCAAAACATTTTTGAGAAAAAATATTACCAGCAATACATTTTTGAAAAAAAAAAAAAAATTACCAGCATACATTTTACCAACAATACATTTTTGAAAAAAAAAATTATTACCGGCAATACATTTTTGAGAAAAAATATTACCAGCAATACATTTTTTGAGAAAAAAATATTACCAGCAATATAGTTAACTCCCGACAAAAATCCTCTATACAAAAATACGTCAATTAAACCTGATCTACAAACTGATTTCTTACAAAGGAGATATATTCTATTTATACGAACCTATGCTCAAAAATTTTTAAGCATTGAGGTTGATATGTTGTAAAAAAAAAAACCCAAACAAGCCAAACCATTCAAATAGATCCTTGTGCCATACCTTGTCAAATGATTTTGCATAATCTATAAAATATAAGTGCGAATCTTTCGGCATTTGTATTGCTCTCTTTTATATCATTCTAATCGTGAATTCCAGTGTTTCTTATTCTAATGTCCTTGACAAAGCCGAGCTGTTCTCATCCTGTTTCCGGTCTAATTCTCCTTCCCGATCTATTCATCTGGGTTCGTATCATTCGTTTGGTTATGTGTATTCAGTCGTAATTGCATTCCACTACGCCGAAGTGCACCAATCGGCATTCTTAACACGCGCGCAATGATTGTTTACCAGCCTTTTATAAAGTAATAATAATAATAATAATAATAGCTGATCACTTGTATCCGTGTATGCTTTTCTTCTAGGGTGGATAACCAATTCCTGTTGCAGAAGAATTCTCACACATATTTATGTTAGTTCAACACCCACAGAGCCCACCTAATGTTTATGCTACAAGTATGCTAAGCGGACATTCCTTACAGTTTCTGAGAGAGAGAGAGAGAGAGAGAGAGAGAGAGAGATAGAGAGAGAGAGAGAGAGAGGGCATTATCTGACACAAACCCTCGGTCACGATGACTTGTGAGCATCGATGGGTCCCACCTAGATCCGTCTATCCAATTTCACTGACATGCCTTGTGTCAACCTATTGTATGGTTTTCATGTACTTTCCGAAGGTGCCAGATTACATAAAAAAAGTTACCATTCTGACAAATCGAGTATGGTGTGATTACGAACCCGAGTCTCATGGTCAGAAGGCGAACGTACTAACAGCCCGGTCACGTGCACTATATATAGATGGTTAACAAATGGAGTTTACAACATTAGCGGTAATAATCGATTTGTATAACAATTTTTAAAAGCATATTTTAATAAACATTTCTTATCAGTTATTTATTTGTAATTCAAATCTTAAAAAATGATATATATAAGCAAGAGAGTGCGAGAGAAGGAACTGCTAGCATAGAATTTACGGTTCTAACGAGAAAATTCAACAGTGGAATCATGAAACCTAGCTGCCAATCTAGTATTGCGTTTCGGTTTGTGGAGTCGCGTTACTAATGTGGAAAGCTAACTAAAAACAATTACAATGAAAAAAATTATAGAAATGGCACAGGGAAAATACGTTACGACGGTTGGAAATGGACTGAAGACGAGATGTCAGGTCAGGACTGTTAACGTTGCAGATTCTTCCTTGGATCTAGGTGACATTTTTGTTTTTACCCTAATATTAATAATAGTTGTAAGGTTACTATTTATTTTTTATGAGATAAAAGAATGGCAACCATTAGCATTGATTTTAACACGTATATATTTTCATTTTTAACTCGATATGCAGATTGGTGTAATTGATAGAATTGGAAATCGGAGAGCCTAGTTCGAATTTTAGTCTAGTTCATTGCATTAATTTGTTCGCACATACTCTTGGGATTGAATATATTGAGGGTGAAATATACTTTTTGTAAGAACCCATCCCCCCCCTGTCCCGCTGCAGTAAGTACTTGACTTCTGCTATTCATTACCTTTACAAGAGCAGTATTTAGTCAACCCCCAACGAAGGTATCATGTGGCACAAGGCTGGTTTAACGTGGGATCTCCTCGCCTGTGGGCTCAGCCAAAAATATGCCCCTGTATAAACGGGTTCAGGGTCGGTTTACCTCCCCGAAAGAGACTCCGCCCTTCGGTGTAACCTCGTTCGGATTCCTCCCCGCCCGAAGGCAGAGAGTTCAACCGATCAGCCGGTCAGCCGGTCGTCCGACTTCAGACTGAACTCTTTACAAGAGCGATAACAGGCTTAAAATGGAATGGTACTGCTATTATATGGACAGAACCAGCCTAGTCTTCATTTTCCAGGACTGCTAGTGTCCAAAATCTTCTATGCGTTATTGTGGGTGGTGAATTATTTGTCACCCTACAACAGACGAAATATTGCAAACCTCCCGCTGCTCTATCACAATTTCCAGGGAAAGTTTTCTAACCTTCACGATTAAGAACGACCAAGCCACCCATATTTTAGTGAACCACACTCATTACCTTTGTATTCGATTGGTGAGATGTAAGTACCACTCAAGCAGTTTCTTCACACGAACTTCTGCTTCATGGAAACGACTAGCAAGATCGCTATAATCTTAACCTGTTCAAGACTAGTGTTTACCGTTATCTTTTCCTTTATATCCCATTAATCTGTAATCCTCTAACTCGATTGGCCGTTGGGCCTTGTACATGGTGAAAATTATTGTAAAAATAACATGCAATATTTACTCGCAAAAGAAGGAATTAATTTTGCAATCCAAGATGTGCTTCGACTTTAAATAACCTACAAAGGGTTAAACTGTAAAAAGCAAATCATTTTTCATTAGACGAAGCATTGTCAGCCATTATTATTCATCTTTGACTAGCGTTTATTTTCTTCTATTTGCATTTGAGGAACCATTGTCAAACATTACTATCAAATTTGACTTATATTTGATGAATGATTAGCAACCATTTTAATTAATTTTTGACTCGTATTCTTATTTTGTTAGATAAAGCTTTAGCAATTAGCATTATTAATTTTTCATTCGTATTTATTTTCATTTTCATTAGATAAAGTTTTGTCAACTATTATCATTTACTTTTGTCTACTACTTATTTTCATCGCAAATTTTTTTATTAAATGAAGCTTTGGCGCCAATTATTGCCAATTTTTGGGTAGTATTTATTTTTTACTTTCATTTTTTATTGGACGAAGCTTTGTCAACAGTTATTATTAATTTTTACTAGTATTTCCTTTTGTTGGTGTAGAAAAACCTCTCTACGCCTATTATTGAAACATGCAGACGTCCATCCGCTTTGAGTAGAACGTCTGCTCATGGACGGTGGCAAAACGAAGATAGCAAAGGCGTAGCGCTTTCCAGTCTTACGCTTGTCACGCTGAACTACTGTATTCTCAGTCTATGTTCACCATGTGATTAAACCCTTCTTCATTTTCTTTCCAGTCTTTTCTTAACAGTCTTACTAACCAACAACTGTGAGCATTATACGAGTTTTATAACCCCTTTTATTATCATTCTTATTGTTAACCATCATTATCTATTCCGTCTTCTTCTCTATGACACGTCGCTTCTGGACAATGGCAATCATCCATAATTTCCTGTTTGTAGCTCAATAAATTTTGTACTTTTGTTATCTTTCCAAAAGCCAGCTCCGCCATCCACTTACTCAAGCTTGCTAAGGCAGATCATACGTTGCTTTCTTCTTTCCTTTTTGCCTTCAATCTGTCCTGTGAGTATCAAATTTTCCAAGCACCTTTCCTTATCATGTGCGCTAGAAATATCAATTGTCTCTTCCTGATGTTAAGTATAAGTGTCCATTTTCTTTCTGTTATGGTCCAGGTTAGGACCAAGGAAGAACAACACGAACGCAAGAGTAGAAATAACGAAGGTATATTACACGAAATAATAATACAAGATGTGGAAGGTGTTAGTATGACTGTCAGTCTGGTTTGGATTAGGTATCTAGCCACCTCACCACGAGGGTTGCATGTGGCACAAGGCCGAGTTTAACGTGGGTTTCCCGAGCCCGTAGGCTCGGCCAAAAAATGCCCGTAGAACCCGTATAAACGGGATCAGGTTGGTCAACCTCCCCGAACGAGACTCTGCCCTTCGGCGGAGCCTCGTCCGGGTTCCTCTCTGCTCAGAGGCAGAGAGTTTGAATATCAAGCCGAGAAGCTCGGCTCGATTCGGTATCTAGCCCCCCCACACGAGGGGTTGCATGTGGCACAAGGCCGAGTTTAACGTGGGTTTCCAGAGCCCGTAGGCTCGGCCAAAAAATGCCCGTAGAACCCGTATAAACAGGATCAGGTTGGTCAACCTCCCCGAACGAGACTCTGCCCTTCGGCGGGCCTCGTCCGGGTTCCGAGGGTCTCTGCTCAGAGGCAGAGAGTTTGCCAAAAAAACCGTCAACCCGTATAAACGGGAGGAAACCTCGGCTGATTCGTTCTCTGCTCTTGGGAGCGTAGTATAAATAGTTTTAGGAAGAGTTCATTCTGTAGTTATAGGTAAGAACCCATGAAACTTTCCAAGCTGGTTGGGTCCATGGTATTGTCAGAATCCTTCTTTAGAACTACATTTCTATTGTTACAAGCCTTTTCATTGGTGAAGAAATTCTCCGGTATTCACTGCCATATAGGAGGACTGATATTACATAACAGTTCTTTGATTCTAACTACAGTTTCCTGTTTCTTAATAGTTTACATACAGCTTAATCGTTTGATTTTAATTTTATATTAGCTTTCTTTTCAGATCAGTGTCGTATATCGATTGCAATATGAAGAGATAAAAAATAAAGATGAAAGTAACAAGACAAATTTAATATTCATGGTTAACAAGAGATATTCCATAAGAACTGCTGATGGCTAAAATAACCAATATTTCGAATTATTCTTTCAAGATAATTCTCGTCTTTTGCGATGTCAATAAATGTAAGGAATCCTATCAATACCATATTTAATTATTCAAAGCGAAGAACAAAAGTGGAAAGTCTGACATAACGCTGCTTCAAATAGAACAGTGCGAACCGACCGAGTCGTCAATGTAGTTTAAAAGGTAATTTATAAAAAAAAAGGCATAAACTCCAAAATTAAACGGATTTTAGATTTAATTAAAATATCACGTGTTTTGATATTATTTATATATTATTTATTTATATTTTCTTGTTTATAGAGTTTTTTGTTTTTTTTCGTAACTTGTTTTGCAGTATCGATGAAGTCAGACTGACGGTCGATTTCATAACAATGACAACATGTTTACAAATAGATTCAATCATGGCAGTGCCTACTTGGATTATTTTGAGAAAGCGGACATCGCCAATTTTAATCATTCTGAATCGAGAAATTCTACCAACGACATATCAAAATAAATAGAGTGACAAGTACAAAAACCATTCAAGCTTGCATACGCTGATACGTATAGTAATATATGCCTGTCACAGAGTATCAAAATGAAGGAAAGAATTAAGGCGGAAAAGAATTAAGGCGGGAAAGAATTAAAGCGGGAAAGATTTAAAGCGGGAAAGAAACGGATGGCAAATAGCAAGGAAAAAATAGACAAAAGCTGAATAAAAAAAACAATAAAAGAAAAGGCAAATTTAAAGAAAGCTTAAAAATCTTGAATGTAATTAACCAAACTTGTCAGTCTTTATTTACTCAGTAGCTTAATTCTGGCAAAAGGCCACAAATATGGAGCATCCATTAAATGTTGAGCTCTTTATTATTAATCTATACGTTGAATTTGCTAAGCGATTACACCACGTAGAGATATCCAAACAACGCAATGGGTACTTACATCGAACGATTCATTTTTCGTATGAACAACTAATGATAGAAGACTTTTTTTTATTTCATTTAACTCCATATCCTCTCATTAGTTTAGACCAGGGTTTTTCCAACTTGGGTGATATCGCCAACCGGTGGCCGATTTCAACTGTTAGGTGGGCGATGAGTAACTGAACAGAAAATCGTGGGCGATACAGGATTTTACCCATGAAAAATGATTTTCAATATATGAAAAA